ACTATGTGGCTGGTTCTGGAGGCCAGAGTGTGAACCATAAGGCTCCTTCCTGCTGTTCTTCTTGAGGACCTACTATGTGCCATCAATGAGCCCACTGGTTAAAAAGTGTGGATAATCTATATCCCATTCATTCTAGACAGGGATCTGATTTCTGGGCATTTGAGACTGAAGACAAATCTAGTGACTGTGCCAAAGTTTACAAATGTCACCTGGGAGAGAAGTCTTCAGGGATTGCTCATCAACCTTTCTCCCCATCCTCTACCCTCCATAGGAAACTGGGAAAATAAAGGAGGCATAAGACTACAGGGGCTGGGATCTAAGGAACCCGAGTGATTCAAAGCTCTGTCACTTACAAGCTGTGTGGCTTTTTTTGACCTCATTTTTTCTTATCTGGAAAATGGGAATAAGTATTTATTTAAAAGGGGTCATAAGGAGTGGGGCAGCTGGGTGGCTCAGTTGGTTAAGCCTCAGACTCTTGGTTTCGGCTCAGGTCATGATCTCAGGGTCATGAGATTGGGGTTGTGAAATTGAGCCCCCCCCCACCTCTGAGCTCAGCAAGGAATCTTCTGGAGATTCTCTCTCCCTCTGCCTCTCCCTGCAAGTGCGTGCACATGCACTCTCTCTCTCTTTCTCTCAAATAAATAAATAAATCTTTTTTAAAAAGAGGGTTTGTGGGGATCCCTGAGTGGCTTAGTGGTTGAGCACCTGCCTTTGGCCCAGAGTGTGATCCTGGAGATCTGGGATCGAGTCCCACATTGGGTTCCCTGCATGGAGCCTGCTTCTCCAACTCTGCCTGTGTCTCTCCCTCTCTCTGTGTCTCTCATTAATAAATAAATAAAATCTTTAAAAAATAATTTTAAAAAGAGGGGTTGTAAGGAGTAAAAGAAAAAATGCAGGGGGACAGGGACAAAATAGGTGCTCAATCAAAGTAAATTATCAGTAAAAAACAAAATTTATAGGAATATATCTAGTGCAATCCTCTCCTTCATTCATTCAGCAAACATTCTGAGCACCTACCAGCACCGCTCTAGGTTCTGAGAAGTCAGCAGTGACCAAACCAAATATCCCTCCCCTCTTGGGACAAGTATTCCAATAGTGTGAGACAATAAATAAATAAGGAAATACTAGGAAGTGGTAAGCGCCATGATAAAAATAATTCAGGATGATGTGAAGAATCCCCTGGGGTAGATTTTAAAATTACACATGTAAGCATTTTTTTTTCTGGAAAAACACGAGGTATTTCACTGTAATTACTTTGCCGGGAGACACTGGAGGCTCGAGGCTGGGAGAGGGGACTTGGTTTTCATTTTATACCTTTTTGGCACTTCGTTTTCTTACATGTGTCACTTTCAGTATGATTTTTTAAAAGTGGCAACCAAGTGTCGCTGGGTGGAGAGATCTAGGCCATGTTTTGCTTTCTTCCCCCATTCTTTTTGGATTTTTCATGTCTTTTAACCAAGTATAAAAGTGGGAGCTGTGATAATCGTTTGTTCTGGGCCGGCTGGCGAAGGCTCTCCCCTGCCAGAGATCTGAGTAATCTAAAATACCCACAGTCGAACTGCTCAGGGGTTGGCAATTTTTGTAAGAATGTTCGATATTTGAGGTTTTCATTTCATTTCAAGGATAATCTTCCCCTCCCTGCCCCGGCCCCACTCCCACACATAGACACACACACATTCACACACACACACACACACACACACACACACACACACACACACACCTTTTACCAATTGCAGAACACAAATGTCTCAACAGGCGAGGTCATTCCACTTGGAATTCTTGACTTTGGGGACTTGGATTCATAAATCGGCATTCCTCAAACGGGTAAGCCTAGGGATTTTGAGTTTCCGGTAACTTTTCAGGAAGCTGAGTGGAGGGATCAGGCCTAAGGAAGGGGTGAGAAGCTCAGAAGAGGTGCTGGCCGCCCCCACCTCCGGACCCTCGCCTCCCATTAGGGACTCGCTCTACAGACGCGGCTGCTCGTTGCCGTGGAGACCGCTGGGCGGCTCTAAACGCGGCACAGGGGAGGGGCCGGGCGGTGGGAGGCCAGGCCCGGGCCGCGCGAGCCGGCTGGGCTGGAGCTCGGGAGAGGGAGGAGAAAATCCAGCAAAGCCTATCGACCCAGCTCCGCAAAGCAAAAACAACCCGAGCGAGCCAGGAATTGTGCAGAGGCCTCGCTGAGATCTCCACCAACCCCACCCGCCAAGCATCTTCCTTTTTTCCCTCTCTCCCTTCCCTCTTTCTCTCCACATCTGCCGGGTTCCTTCAAGAAGTAAAATCCCACATCGCCAGTTAAATAGAATTACAGGCGTTCCTTTTTTATACCTTTGTATTAAAGTCACTCTCTCACAGGGGTTTTTGCCGTTGTTGAATTTTTTTCTTTTTTAACCGTTGTGTATTTCATTACAATTGGTTTCCATTGTCATCCAGTGGATGCAATTCTATGCATTGAAAAACTTTATCATGAAAAGAGCCTCATAGGATTTAGAAAGGAATAAGGATTCCTGAGACAGGGTAGAGGCCACTTCTGTAGTTGAGGGGGGTGCAGAATGACCTCTCTAAAAAAGGTGTCATTTGAGCAGAGGGAAATCTCCAAAGAGAAGGCAGGGCCATAACATTCTGGAGGTTGGGAAGGGCAACTGCAAAGGCCCTGAGGCGGACATGAACCCGGTGTCCTTGATGGACAGTGAAGAGGCAGGTGTGGCTGGAGTGGAGTCAGTGAGAAGGAGAGAAAGCGAGAGGGAAGTAGAGGAGGTGAGGCCTTTAATTTTACTCCAAGTAACATGGAGGATTTTTGAAAGAGTAGAGATAGATCTGCCTTAGGTGTTTTTTGTTTTGTTTTGTTTTTAATTTTATTTATTTATTTGAGAGAGAGAGTGAGCGAAAGACAGAGCCCACCAGCAGGGGCAGAGCAGGGGCAGAAGTAGATGGAGAAGAAGACTCCCCTGCTGAGCAGAAAGCCAGCCAGTGGGGGGCTCGAATCCAGGAGCCTGAGCCAAAGGCAGTCGCTTAACCGAATGAGCCGCCCAGGCGTCCCCTGACCTAAGTTTTTAAAAAATTCCTCCAGCTGCTAGGTTGGGGTCACTGCAGACCGTGAGGGGGGAAGCAGGAAGTTGCATGGATCCACCCTACCAGATAGTTCTTTTTTTTTTTTTTTTTCCTACCAGATAGTTCTGAGAATTCCTAACAACAGTCCCATTTCGCACACAGCAGGGTGCCTGATGTCAAGGAAACTCGTCCTGCAAGTTAACTGCTATTATTACTAATGCCTTGTGGTGCTCATTGTTCCCGAGCTAGCTGCCTCAGAGTTACCTGGGAAGCTTTGCACATCCTGGGCCCCACATCCCAGGGATCCTGACCTGCTGTGTCCATAGCCAAGTCTGAGGAACTTTGATTTAATTGATGAGAGACACAATGAGAGAGACAGAGACATAGGCAGAGGGAGGAGAAGCAGGCTCCATGCAGAGAGCCCCATGTGAGACGATCCCAGGACCCGAGGATCACACCCTGAGCCAAAGGCAGATGCTCAACCAATGAGCCACCCAGGTGTCCCTGAGGACCTTTGATTTAATTGAACTTGCTTGGGTGTCAGGTGGCTCATTGGTTGAGCCTCCATCTTCTGCTCAGGTGGTAATCCCGGGGTCCTGGGATTGAGTCCTGCATTGGACTCCCCACAGGGAGCCTGCTTCTCCCTCTGCCTGTGTCTCTGCGTCTCTCTCTCTGTGTCTCTCATGAATGAATAAAATCTTTAAGAAAAAATTTAACTTGCTTAATTAACAGTTCTGACTCCTAAAAATCCAAGCAATCCAAAAAGATATAGAAGGAAAAGTACATGTCTCTGCCAATTCTGGGACCCACCCAGAAACAGCCACTGTTGGCAGCTCTTCTACCTGAGAGGTGTCCCCTGACCTAAGTTGCATATCTAGGCCCTTTGCCTAGACAGGATGCATAGATGCATATCTAGGCCCTTTGCCCCCCACCCCATACACACAAGTCAGACTGTTTCAGATTCAAATCCAGGTTCCATTACTTCTGGCAGTGGGACCTTGAGTAAGTGATTTTTTAAAATATATATTTTATTTATTTGAGAGAGGGAGCATGAGCAGAGAGGGAAAAGCAGACTCCCTGCTGGGCAGGGAACCCAATATGGGACTCGATCCCAGGACCCCTGGATCATGACCTGAGCCAAAGGCAGATACTTAACTGCCTGAGCCACCCAGGTACCCCGAGTAGGTGATATTTACATCCTCATCTATAAATGGGAATGATCGGACCCCTGGGTGGCTCAGTCCCCTAAAGCGGCTGCTTTTGGCTCAGGTCATGATCCGGGGGTCCTGGGATGGAGCCCCACCTCTCCCTCCCTGCTCAGCAAGGGGTCTGCTTTTCTTCTCTCTCTGTGCTCTTTCTCAAGTAGATAAATAAAATCTTTTAATAAAATTAAATAAAATGGGAATGATCATATTACTTGTATCATAATGTTATAGGGAGGATTTCATGAGTTAGTCTGCAGAAAGCACTTAGAATGGACGCAGGAGACGCTCCATAAAACCTGACTCTCCTTTTCACCAGATGCTTCTTTTTACAGAGCTGCATAGTCTTTCAATGCGAGAACCGTACAGCCAAGCCAGCGCCTCCTGATGAACACTTCGGTTCCTTTCTTCACCCCCACAATCTTTACTGAGCACCTACCGCGTGCCAAGCCTGGTGCTAGAGGCCAGCGCAGTTAAGACCCTGGTACCAATCTCTCCACCGACCTGTATGGAGGTCGGAACCTGTATGGCTAAAGAGGTAGGGACCTCTGGTACCCAAGGTCACATGGTGTGAAGTGGTCACCTCCAGTGCCGGTGGCTTTCCAAAGGACCGCCCCGTGAGCACCGCCACCTCCAGGGCTCGGCTGGAAGCCCCGGGTTTAGCAGGGCAGGTGAGGGAACTGCCGCCTTTCCCCCCCGGGAAGGTGCTGACGTGGGCCTCGGCGGGGGCGTTCGGCTCGGGAGCGGTGGCCCCAAGGAGGCCCGGAGCGCGGCCACACCCCTGTGGGGGAGGGGAATAAGGGCGCCCCGAAGGGAGTGGACAGCCCCCCTGTCAGTCTTCCCGAGTCCGGGAGTGTAAGATGAGAAGGGGAAGGTGGGCCTCACCCGAGGGGAGAGCGAGGAGGAACTTCCTGCCCGCGCGCGCTCCTCGGCGCCGAGCGCACGGGCTGGGGACGCTGTGGGCGCGTCAAGGTCGGCCTGGACTGGGGTGGCCGCCTGCCCGGGGGCGGGAGACCCTGGCGGGGCTGGGCTGCGGCCTCCAAGCGCCTCGGCCATATTGAAGAGCCGTCTTTGTGTGCGAAGGCCTCTCCCAAGCTGCAGGCGCGTCGCCGAGGCAGGAAGAGCCACGGGGCAGCCCGTGCGCCCCCACTAGCTTGGAGCCGGGACTCCACGTCTGCAGCTGGCGGTGGGCTTCGAGCCCCAGGACTCGCCTCTCCCGGGCTCACGTAAGCATCCTGGGGATTGATTCCCGCCAGTCCTCGGTGGTGGGCGGGGAGCCGGACTTGGTCAAGACTGGACTTTGGGGCGGGCAGAGGAGTCGGGAGGGGTTGGCTCATCCTTGGCTGCAGAGGTGAGACCCTCCCTGGGGGCAGTTCTGCTGGGACCCCCAGCCCCAAGACTCAGGCCTATTTGTAGTTTGGGGTCGTTGCCCCCAGCCCAGATTTCACCCTGGAGATCTTAAAGACCCTCGAGAAAAGCCACGTGGGGGGCTGGTTCCCCTGGGGCTTCCTCCCATCCCCCGACTCCCTGATCCTCTGGAGCGTCCCTGATGTGTGCAAAGATGTGGATCTGGACGTCCTCGTGGAAGCCTTGAAGCCCGTGGGGACCTTTAAGAAGATTGGCAAGGTGTTCCGCAGGGAGGAGGACTCCACGGTGGGGATGCTGCAGATCGGGGAGGACGTCGACTATTTGCTCATCCCCCGGGAAGTCAGGCTGGCCGGAGGCGTGTGGAGGGTCATCTCCAAGCCCGCCACCAAGGAGGCGGAATTTCGGGAGCGGCTGATCCAGTTTCTGGAGGAAGAAGGCCGCACATTGGAGGACGTGGCCCGCATCATTGAGAAGAGCACCCCACACCCGCCCCAGCCCCCCAGAAAGCCCAAGGAGCCCCGAGAGAGGAGGAGAGTCCAGCAGATGGTGACCCCTCCCCCACGCCTGGTCGTGGGCACCTATGACAGCAGCAATGCCAGCGACAGCGAGTTCAGTGACTTCGACACTTCCAGAGACAAGCGTGACAAGGGTGACAAAGGTCACAAAGGTGCAGGGCGCAGCAGGAAGGTGCGCAAAATGCCAGTCAGTTACCTGGGCAGCAAATTTCTAGGGAGCGACCTGGAGAGCGAGGACGACGAGGAACTGGTGGAGGCCTTCCTGCAGCGAGGGGAGAAGAAGCCCAGCGCGCCACCTGCCCGCCGCCGGGTGAACCTGCCAGTGCCCATGTTCGAGGACAACCCCAGGCCGCAGCTGTCCAAGGCTGACAGGTGGCGAGAGTATGTCAGCCAGGTGTCCTGGGGGAAGCTGAAGCGGAGGGTGAAGGGTTGGGCGCCCAGGTCCAGCCCAGAGGTGGGCGAGGCCCGGCAGGCCTCTACCAGGCTGGAGAGGGTTGGGGCGTCCGTGCTGGGCAGAGCCAGCCGGGGGGTTAATGTGGGCAACACAGGAGCTGAGCAGATGCCTGAGAGTCCCCCAAGACGATGGAAGCCCAAAATCAACTGGGCCTCTTTTCGCCGTCGCAGGAGGGAAGAAGCAGCATCCCCAGAGGAGGGGGCAGAGGCTGTAGATGATCAGAGGGCAGAGGCTGCAGATGACCAGGGGGCTGAGGCTGCAGATGACCAGGGGGCTGAGGCTGCAGATGATCAGGGGGCTGAGGCTGCAGATGATCAGGGGGCTGAGGCTGCAGATAATCAGAGGGCAGAGGCTGCAGATGATCAGAGAGTAGAGGCCATACCTGTCCAGGGGGCAGAGGCTGAGGATAATCCAGGGGCAGAGGCCATAGCTGTCCAGAGGGCAGAAGTTACAAGTAGTCAGGGGGAAGGGGCTCCAGATAATCAAAGGGCAGAGGTCCCAGTTGTCCAGGGGGCAGAGGCTGCATCCGATGGGGCAGAAGCCATAGCCAACCAGAGGGCAGAAGCCGCACATAACCAAAGGGCAGAAGCCCCAGCTGCCCAGGTGGCCACAGGGACAACCCAAGGAGCTAAGGCCCGGAAACAGGTCAAGACAGTGAGGTTCCAGACCCCTGGACGTTTTTCATGGTTTCACAAACGCCGGAGAGCCTTCTGGCACACTCCCCGGTTGCCAACCCTGCCCAAGAGAGTCCCCAGGGCAGGCGAGGCCAGGAGCCTTAGGGTGTTAAGGGCAGAGGCCAGAGCAGAAGCAGAGCAGGGAGAGCGAGAAGACCAGCTGTGAGGTGAGGGCAGGGGTGCCCTGGGGCTCGCAGCCACCTGCCATGCCATCACCACTCTGGGCTCGGCCCTCCCTCCCCTGCGCTTGGGTGGAGATGCCCTTCCTGCCACCATACTTGAAAATGCAAGTGGACAAGGGTCGGGCAGTGGTCCTCCCATCTCCACCCCGCACCCCTCTTTCCTGTTAAAAGTTTATCTTTCATGCATTGATTTTTTTTTTTAAAGACTCTAGTCACCCAAGGAATGTAAAGAAACAGAGCCATACAAAGGGGTTGCATCACTCATGATTTTAACTTCTCAAATACGACTCCAGGTGCTCAGCTTGGCTGGGGCAGGATGCGAGGGAGAAATTTCCTCCCCTCCCCCTTTCTCTTCTTTTCTCCTGCACACTTAACATTGACGCCTCCTTGAACTTAAGAAAAAGGGGCGCGAGCCGACATGCAAATAAAAATGCTTACCACGTGATTTCCTGGCTCTGGACTGGGCAGCTGAAGAATGCTCCAGGGTTATGCTGTCACTCCCTTGTGTCCCCTCCACTCCCACCCTCCTGGATGGTGACCTGCCTGTCTGTCACTTTGTTCGCCATCCCCATGCCCCTGGGTTCCGGCCCAGGGCCTGCACTTTTATATACTCTCCCCAACCACCACCCCCGCCAACCTTGGTTGCAGGGTCCAGAAGTATCTGGGAAATGTGTCCAAAATTCAGATTCCGGGCCCTTCATGCTAGAGCTGTGGATTTGCTGGAGTGGGCTGTGTGCCCCCGGAATTTTTTTTGATCGAGCCCCCAAAAACATCTCCTGGGGCAGACTGATCACTGGACACATCGAAAACTGCAATAGGAACAGGCCAAAAAGCTGGATGGTGGTATAGTGTGTAGTGTGCTGTGACTGGCGCTTATAATCAGGGAAAGACTGGGTTGTTAGGGCCCCGTAGGCACTGGGGGACCTCTCTCTGTATTGTCTTGTGTCCCCCAACCCCAGCCCCGCTGAGGGCGAGAGCAAAGAGAAGTCAGGGAGGAGAGAGGCCTGAAGGCCAGCTCTGTCTTGGCTAAGGCTGCAGTCCTGGCCTAAGCCTCTTAGTCTTTTTCCTCTGGAACTAAAAGAATTACATGCCCTCACCCACTTCCACCCTGGAAGGAGGAGCTGCTGGTGCTCCTTCCGAGTGATGCTAAGAGCTGCTTTGCACTGGTACAGTAAATGGCTCAAGCCTGGCAGGAAAAAGCCCCAATGGGATTTAGAAGACAGGGTGTGGACCCCACCTGGAGGGATGGACTTTGCCAGGGGCTGGGGAGTTACCAGGCTGGATGCGGCTGGCCCTTGAGTGCCCAGTGGGTGCTCTGGATGCCAGGCTAGTGGTAGCAGTGAGGGGGGGGGCTCTCCATAGCTACTGCCCCTCTGGGAGAAGAGCAGCCACATGATCACGAGGGCCTAGTCTGTTTGGGGTCCTGGAGGATGAAAGAAAGTGGGAGTGGAGATGGTGAGATATACCAGGAGAGAGATGAGGGCAAATCCACCCCACTCCCCACCCCCTGCTGATTCTCAGTTTGTCCCTCCCATCCCCAGTGTTCCAGGCATGAACATCCAGTAATGCCCAGGAGTCAGAGGTCCCTTGGGTTCCCTGAAATTGTACCAGGGCTTTCATATTTTTAATCCAAGGGGATTTCATTTAGCACCTGAATGGTCCAGGCCACGATGCAGCTCACTGATGCCTCCAGGATTGTGCTTTCAAACATGCAAGGATTTTCATGGGAGGGGGGAAGCACCAGAAAACTAGAGTTTTGTCTCCAAACTAGCCTTTATCTGGACACCCATGAGTGTCCCCAAAGAGAAAAACAACAGAATATGGCCATAGAGGTGCCACCCTGCAATAGCAGGGACTTTCTGAGTGCCCCATGGTGGTGTGCCTTGACAGGAGGAACCATTAGGGAGACAGGGTAAGGAGGTATTTGGAGCTTATATCACCCCTAGCACCACCCCTCACAAGCTGTGTGACCTTGGGCTGGCTAATTTATGCCTCTCTGTGCCCCTACCTGAGATGATTGAAGAAGACATAATGTATTAGAGCTCAAATCAGCCCCAACAGACATCATCTCTCCTTGTCCTATTCCTGTTCCACATCAGAAGTAGCCAGAACTTGACCAGATGTCTCAGCCCCAATTGGGGCCCCCAGGACCCTGGTTCCCATCCTGGCTGGTAGGTGGACCCACCACGGAGGTTCCCAACACCCTTGGCCAGCCTGCATATGCAGAGATTGTCATGCACGTGGTGCAGGGTGAGGCTGGGGCTCCCAGAGCCCTGGGGCTTGCAGGGTGATTCCAGTGTGCACCCGGGACTGACCACTGCTACCCCAGGGCTCCGGGAGATGACCAGACCCCACAGCAGACCCTCTCCAGCTGGTCGTGCAGCAGAATCCTTGGGAGGCTTTCAAAACCACAGCCTGCTGGGTCCCAACCCCAAGTGATTGCCTAGGTGTGGGGTGGGCCCGGGAATATGCATCTCGTCCAGCTCAAGCTCGGGGTGAGAGCAGCTGGTGCTGCTGACCCCAGGACCTCACACGAAGGGCCCCTGCGCTACAGAAACGTGCACTCTGGGCAGCCTGACGCTCCCAGGTGGAGCTTCGACCTGGAAGGCCCTGGGCCAGGGTCTGCAGCGTCCCGCGCCCTCGGGGGAGCCTCCGCCCGCGCGCCCTCCCCGAGCGGCCCTGGAGCGCCCCCTGGTGGGAGCCGCAGTGGGTGCGGGCGCTCTCCCCTCTCCCGGGGCGGGCGTGGGGGGCGGTGCGGATCCGGCGGCGTCTGCGGGCCCCGGGTCGCTGGATCTTCCCTCTGGAAGCTCTGGGACCCGACCCCATTCGCAGGAGTCCTGGGACTCGAGCGGGCCGAGGGGCCGGCACGGGGGGGGGGGCTGCGGGTGGGAGGCGAGGTTGGTGGGGATCAGCGGGGCGGCGGGCACTGAGGCCACAGGTTCAGGAACGTTAAGCGGTTATGCGAGGGAGCCCCGGAATAGGACAAATCCGGGTTCGAGCTCCCCTCCCCGCCTCCTGAGCCTCACTTTCGTCACCTGGGAAACCGGAGTGAAAACTTGCCTTCGCCCATCCTGTTCCCCGAACCCTATTCTACGCACAGGATCAAAAACAGGACACACACGAGCCAGCCCCAATCTCGTCACCCCACAGACCCCACAGGACGCACACAGCACGGGGGGTGGCACTGGAGGGGCCCGGGATCACCCGGGAATGAGCCTTAGGCTCACGGGCCTGCCTGGGGCTTGTGCCCCGCCGTCGGGCGGCCTGAATGCGCCTCCCTCGGGGATCCCCTGCCCCAGGCCTCACCTCTTCGGGTCCTCGCTCAGCCGCACCTGCTGGGAGAGGGCGTCCCCGAGCCCTTCTCCCTCCCCACCCCCACCCAGTACCCCCACCCCCACCGGGGGGTGCTGGCACCCTGCCCCGCCGCGGCTCGCCGGCAGCCTCGGTGTGCTGCACAGCGCGCACTGCTCCAGACGCGTCTCCCCGGCGCCCCCGCCCCCCAGCGCCCCGCGAGGGTCCTTCCCGCCGCCACGCCAGCGCCAAACACCGGGCGGGGCTCCGTGTCCCCGTGACCCGCACGGTCCCTGCCGCCTCTTCCTGAGTGCCACCTCCCGCCGCCGCCTCCAGGCTCGTTGTCCTCGGGCTGCGGTCTGGGTGGGGGCTCTGGGGGCTCGGGCGGGGACCTCCTAACCTTGGGGCCACCTTACCTTCCCTTTCTGCACTTGGGCCTGAGGTACCCGTGTCACCGATCCCTCTACTACACCCCCTGACAAATACAGTCAGCGGGTCATCTGGGAACAAATTAGTGGTGCAGGTGGCAACCAATTCGAGCTTGATAAAGTGAGATGTGTGGGAAGGGCTATATTTTTTGTAGGGTGGTCAGGGAAGGCCTGCCTGGGAATGTTTGACAGTTGAACAAAAACTGGTATGAAGGGATCCCTGGGTGGCGCAGCGGTTTGGCGCCTGCCTTTGGCCCAGGGCGCGATCCTGGAGACCCGGGATCGAATCCCACATCGGGCTCCCAGTGCATGGAGCCTGCTTCTCCCTCTGCCTATGTCTCTGCCTCTCTCTCTCTCTGTGACTATCATAAATAAATAAATAAAAATTAAAAAAAACTGGCATGAAGTGAAGGGTAGAGCTATGCAAATATCCTGGGCAAAGGCAGTCCAGGCCAGGGGAAAGTGCAAAGGCCCTGAGGTCGGAATAGACTCCACATGTCCCTGAACAACAAGATCTGGGCATCTGAAGGCACGAGAGAGTGGTAGCAGTAAGGCAGATAAAAAAAAAAAAAAGCTGAGTAGTGCTGTCCCAGAGAATTTTCTACAATGATGGAAAAGTCCTATTCTTGCACTGGAATGGTAGCCAGCAGCCCCACACAGCTCTTGAGCACCTATAACGTGACTGATATGGTTGAGGAAATGGATATTCCATCTTATTTAATTTTATTTAAATTTATTGTCCCCTGGGGCCAGATATTACCTTATTGGACAGAGCAGGTCTAGACCACTATGAGCTTCAGTTTAACCTGTGGGGACAAAGGAAGCCTTTGAAGGGTTTGGAGAGGTTGTGAAGAATCAAACATTAGACTGAGTTCTAAGAGGGCCCTTCTGGCAACCTCGTAGCCTTGAATGGAAGAGGGGCAAGGGTAAGAGGCCAGATACCAGGAGTGGAGGTAGGATGGGTTTAGGGCAGATATTTGGTGCGAGGGCAGTCCTCATGGTGAAGTGTGGGAGTTGGGAGCTGGCTATAGAGGGCTACACCACAGAGCTCACGGGACCACGATGGGAATAGTTGGGCAGAGACTATTGTGGGGACTAGGGAATAGAGCAGAGACAAGGATCAGATTAAATGTGGAGTAGGGTGGGAACCAGATTTAGGGGTGATGGCTGGGCCCCAGAAAGTGCAGTTGGATGGGCCAAAGAACGACATCCTAAAGATTATGGAGTGCTGGGACCTGATAAGATAAAATATAGCGACAGCCAGCTGCGTTTGAGTTGGAGAGGGAGGCCAGGAGTGGGGGCAGGTAGACTAAGGCATGGAGGAATTTTATGGCTGCAGTTAGGTCAGGGGCTGAGCCAGGTACAGCCAGTGAGGAAGCAGAGGACCCTAGATACAACAGTGACAGGGTGGTCCCAGGTGTGCTGGCTGAACTTCCGTTAGCACAGGTAGGGCATGTTGCCCGACCTCAGACACTCCCCTGTCCCATCATCCAGAACACAGAGACACCAGCTGAGAACGATCAACTCTCCTGAATGGTCCCAGACAGGTGCACAAAAAGAGGAGCCTACAATGGCTGTGGCTCTCCCCACCCCAGGCATCCACAGAGGCCACTCAGCCCAGGGCCAGCACCCCCAGGGACGAGGGGGTTTCCTCCCCCAACCCCAGGCCCAGGCCTACCCTGGCTTACTCCATGGTGATCTCAGTAACTGTCCCATGGAGGTCCCTGTGGTCCTGAGGCAGGCACTTTCTAGAATGGCTGAAGCACTTCCTGAGTCTGCTTCTGCACCTAGGTGTCCCCAGGTGGGGCTCAGGCAGTCCAGTCGGGCTGTGAGGGCACCCCCAGGCCCCTGTGCCTCCCTTGAGACATGGAGGGAGGGCCCTCCTGGCACATGGGCCTGTCACCTCCCGGGGACAGGAACTCTGGCTGAAACACACACACACACACACACACACACACACAGCCCCAGGACAAGAGGACATGGAGCAGCATCCAGTGGAGAGAGCTACTGAGGGGACAGGCTGAGAGGGACAGGAAGGGCTGATGTCCTGTCTACCACCCCCACACGGACACCCACACCCACAGATGCAGCCACACTTGGGACAGCAGGAGTGACCCTCCCCCCAGCGCTGAGCCAAGGGGGGGGGAGGCAGAACTCGGGCCTGGGCTGCAGCCTCCACCCCACCCCACCCCCACCACAGGGGCCACCTCCTTCCTCTCCACACCAGTCCCTGGGCAGCTCCTACACTGGCTGGATCAGCCCAGTCCCAGGTGCCCCCTCAGGGTCCCCTCCCATGTTTAGCTCACTCAGAGGGAAAACGGGGAACCTTTTGTCGTCTTAAGCCAAGGGCTCCCAGGCTAGTACTGAGGGACCAGTGAGGCCACAGGACAGGGGGGACAGCTGTGGGGGCCATGGGGGTGGTGGGGTGATGGCAAGGAGACCACAGGCCTGTTGGACATTTGCTGCCCTGCGCCACCAAGGAGGGAAGCCAGAATCTGGATCTGATGTGCCTGAAAACGGTGCCAAATACTTCAGAGTTTTGGAAATTGCTGGGTGGCCAGAGTGACAGATCCTGGCCTTGGCCTTAGGAGCTGGGTCACTTGTCTCAGCTGCTCCTGGGGAGGCAGGGCTGGTGCTCCCGCCCTCTCCTCCTCCTCCTCCCCTGCCCCCCTTTCCCACCCCTCCTCTCCCCTCTCCCAGAGGACCTGCCCTCCCCTAGGAGCTGCCCCTCAGATTCCTCTTCGGGAATCATCTCCTTCCCCAGGCAGGGAGGATGGGCCTTCAGGCCTCAGCGGCACGCTGACACCCACTGCCCAGCCGCCCCCCCCACCCCCCCGCCCCGCTCCATCCCAAACCCGAGTGGCCCACAGACGCTGGCCAGGAGGTGTCTGGAACGACGGGGGCCTCACCGCCTGAAAGGACCGTGTGGCAGGGCGGCCTCCCCCTGCCCCAGGGCCGCGGCCGCGCTCACCCCCGCGATCAGCCCACGGGGTGAGCCCCGAGACCCCGTCCCGTCACCTGGGGCCGCGGCGGGCCGGAGGCGCCCGCATCTCTGTACTTCCCCGGGTCGCTCCCGCCACCTGCGAGGCGGGGACTGACAGGCGCGGGGAGGCCGGCGGTGACGCGGGGAGGCCGCCCCGGCGCAGGAGACGGGGGACAGCGCCCCGGGTGCGTCGTCCGCGCGGCTCCGAGCTCCCCTAGCGGCACCTGGGGGGCTGCCCCCGCCGCGCCCAGCCTTCCTGCCCCGGGCGGACTCCGAGCCGTGGGCCCCGGCGCCCGCGCGCCCCTTCTTTGCCGGGGCGCGGCCGCCTGGTCGTGGGCGCGCGTGGCCGGAGTGACGGCCCTTCCGCTCGGCCTCCGCCCCCGCCTCCCGCTCCGCGTCCGCCCGAGCCCGATGGGAAGGGGCCCGCGCCCGCCTGGCGCTGGGACCTGGAGGCCGCGGGGGCCCGCTCCGCCCGCGGCTCCCTGCACGCCCGCGGCCCGCGCCCCGGCTCCCCGCGCTGCGCCCCCGCACGGCCCCCCCGCAGCCAGCAGCGCCAGGACCTCGCCCAGCCCGCCTCGGCGCCGCCGCCCCTCCCGCCTTCGCGGCCGCCTTCCCGGGCCTCCCGCGTCACCCCCGCCGCGTCCCTCGCGGCCAGCAGCGCCACGAGCTCCAGGAGGTGCCCCTCGCCGTCCGCCCAGCCCGCCGGGAGGCCACGCGGCGCCCTCTGGCCCCGGGAGCGGGAGCGCGGCCCGGGCGCGGCCAGGGAGCAGAGGCACTCCCGCAGGCTCCCGTCGCGCGTGGCCTCCCGCAGCGCCACGGCGTCCACCCGGCGGCCTGCGTCCTCCACCTGCACGCGGGCTCCCCCGGCGTCCCGGGCCATGACGCGGAGGACCTCGGGGAGCGCATCCGTCCGCTCTGTCTCGCTGCTCCAGCCCAGGACCTCCCTCACCGCCGCGATCTTCTGCAGCTCCTCCGGGCCGATGGGTCCGACGGGTCCGTGGAGGCCACGATGGCCACGAACTCGGGGTGCTCCAGCCCCTCGTCGCCGGGCTCCCGGTGTGGCCGCGGCGGGCCGTCCGCAGCGTCGCCGTCGGCGGGCTCCTCGTCCCCCGCGGCTCGCACGGCAAGCAGGGCCACCAGGTCCGGGACGCGGCGTCTCGGGGCTTCTGGGCCGCCGTCCGGGCCGACGGCCTCCCGCCCCGGGGGCTCCTGCTCGGCTCCGTGGGTCACCGTCACCAGGGCCAGGAGCTCGCGGGGCCCCTCTCCTGCGCGCGTGCAGCTCGGCAGGGCCCACTCCTTCCTGCTCAGCTCCTGGCGGCCTCGTGCAGCGCGGCGGACAGCGCGCTCGGAGCCTCGGCGGCGCCCTGGCTCGGGTCGCCCTGCTCCGGCCCCTGCAGCACGACCCCCAGGCTGCCCTGGGCAGAGGCGTCCGAGGCGTCCGACTCCCGCCTGGCGTCGGTGGGCCGCCCTCTCCGCTCCGCCTGCCTGCCCCCCTGGGACCCCCTGCTGCCTCTGCCTCTGTTTCTGCGCCCCTGGCGGCCCCTCCTCGCAGGGGACCAGCCTTCCTGGCGGCGGGCTCTGCGCCCTGGGCCGGGTCTCCGGGTCTCCGAGGAGGCCGAGGCCGCAGACGGGACACTGTCCCCAGGGGCCCCCCGGGCCCTGCGGTCTGTCGGGGCCCCTCATCCAGCAGGAGGCGTCTCATCTGCCTCAGGACTCCTGTGTCATAGGCGGGGTCCTGACACACAACCCTCCGGCGCCGTGGGTGCCCGGGATTTCTCTGGGGTCGCGCGCTGGGGTTGATGTCCTCCACAAACTCCACCAGGGCCGCCTTGGCCTTGTTTTCCCTCGCCGCCCGGGTGTTCCACAGCCTGAAGGTGCCCAGGGGCAGGAAGGCCGGTGCAAGACGGCTTCGATGGCCTTCCGATCCAGGCCGTCCCGGATGCCGGTGACCAGCAGGGCCCGGTGCGCGTCCACATGCAGGCCCTGGCACCAGTCCCGCAACAGGCTGGTGACCATGGTGAGGCTGCCCTCTGGCGCCGATCGCAGGGCAGGGGGAATCTGGGGCGGACGTGGGCTGCGGTGTCGGGTGCAAGTCCTGCCCTGGAACAGCCGCAGTCCAGGGTTCAGGTTCAGGTGAATGTGGCAAGTGGGGCTACGGAGTCAGGGCCTCTGCTGCCTCTAGCCCCCTGACGCTGACGCAGCAGCCTGTCCTGATGCCCCCGCTCCTCTCCTGGGCTGTTGGAGAATCCGCAGGGGGTTTACGTGTCACTCTCAGGGATGCTCCAGCCCGGCCACTCCGACCTTTGTCCCTGAGAATGGCCTCAGTGACGCGGCCCCCTTTCATGGGCAGGGGAGGACTCCACTGTGTTCACCTGGAGCGGCATGGGGGAGGGGAGCCGGGCACGCGCCAGGTCTGGGCGCTCACCCACAGCTCGGATCTGAGGATTGCGCTGAGAGGGGTTGCTGGGTCCTACGCCTGCGCGCCTGGGCTCGCCCCTCCCCCAGCTGGGCCGGGTCTCGGTGGTAACGCTGCGCAGCCAGCGGGCTGGAGCTGGGGTCTTAAAGGGCCGCAGAAAAGGAGGACGTGGAGATGGGCAGCGTGGTCGCCTTCACTGATGAGCCCACACAAGCCAAAATTCACAGGGGTCGGGGAGACGTCAATCAGGGGGACCCGCATTGTTCACCCGATCGAGGGCCCCTTCGAGAGAGTACAGGCTTCCATCGGTCATAATCCGCCTCCCTGGTGTACAGGTGGAGGTCAGGATAGGAGGCCTAAGTCAAGGGGGGCTGGCCTCACACAGTGTGTGAGTACCAGACTCGCTTTTGGGTCCAAGCCTTGTTCCGAGTTCCGGGGTCACTCAGGCCTCACCTGTTAGGTCTATGTATCATTCGGGGTGCGTAGGCCTAGCTCCCGGAGACCAGGTTTCATTCCTGCCCATATTCCTGCAAAAGGAATAGCACTTTAATCAGTCTTGGTTTTGAGCCTATTCTTTTTTTTTTTTTTTTAATTTTTATTTATTTACGATAGTCACACACACAGAGAGAGAGAGAGTCAGAGACATAGGCCGAGGGAGAAGCAGGCTCCATGCACCAGGAGCCCGACGTGGGATTCGATCCCAGGTCTCCAGGATCGCGCCCTGGGCCAAAGGCAGGCGCCAAACCGCTGCGCCACCCAAGGATCCCTCAGTCTTGGTTTTGTATGTGGTTTGTGTATGTGTATGATCATCAGTGAGATCAGACATGAAATTCCAGTTCCCCAAGAAATCATTTCCCCCTGGCTGGGACATGTGAATATCGTAGCTACTAAACACACATTTGCTTCACATCCTTGGACCCCTCACTCAATGTATATCCAGCTCTGTGGTACAGCTGTGGGGTTTCTATGTTGTTTCTACCCTTCCTAGCACCCGGACCAGACCCCTCCACTCTGAGAAGATTCTGAGCTGTCCCAGGCTGAGTTTGCTTGGTGAAATAACAATAACCACTAACCCTATATCATAGGACCCTGATGGGGGTTAAAGCGGCTGATCCAGGAAAGCACTTGGAAGAGACATTAGCCCAGAGTTGGTGCTCCATATAAGATGGGTATGGAAAGGATTTATTGAGAACTTAACCATTATATAAGTATTTGTTAAATAAATAAGGACTCAGAATACCTTGGTTTTTTGCTTCTTTTTTATGTAGGAAGAGAGTTTACAGCAGTGTTACCATGGCAACTGGGCCTTAGGCAAACCAAATTGCTTACTCACTCCCCTACCAACCCCCCTGTAGCTCTTCTTTTCTCTGTTTTTCTCTTCTCTCACCTTCATGATCCCCAGATGGAGGTTACCCTTCTCTAGAGCAAAGTTGTCCAACAGAAATCTAATTGGAGCCCCAAAGGCAAGCAATATGGTAGTGTAGAATTTGCTACTGGCCACCTTCAGTAAATTAAAAAAAAAAAAAAAGGCAAAATGAATTTTAAGAATAGATTTCTTTGGGGGCCTGGGTGGCTCAGTCAATTAAGCATCTGCTGTCTGCTAAGGTCATGATCCCAGGGTCCTGGGATAGAGCCCAAGTCTTACTCCTTGCTGCTAAGCTGCTCAGCAGGGAGTCTGCTTCCCTCTCTCCCTCTGCCCCTCACCTCTGTTCTTGCTCTCTCATGCTCTCTCTCTCTCTCTCAAATAAATAAATAAAAATATTTTAAAAAATAGATTTCATGTATCTCCAAATATACAAAATATGGTCATTTGCATATGTCATCAATATAAAACTATTAATGAGATATTAAACATTCTATTTTTCACGAGTCCCTTCGGAGCAGCCCTTTAAGGGCTCAGCGGCCACACATGGCCACTAAGAATTTATTCTGAGGAATTTGTGTTGTGTGTGTGTATGGACATGTTCAGTACAAGGATATTTATACTTGTGTTATTTATAACTCTGCAAGATTGGAAAACTCAATCACGAAAAAGAGAAACAGAAAGCTGGTATTTTTTCTATGTCTGGTGTGGATGGCCATGGGCAAGTACTTGTGAAAATGAAGGTGCATATACCTTATAATTCACCTACTCAAGTATACAATCCAATGGCTCTAATCTATTCAGAATTGTGTGGCCATCACAACCAGCTTCAGAATATTTTTATCACCCAAAAAAAAAACCCTGTACCCCTTTAGCCATTGCCACCTGGTCCCCACCAGCCCCTGGCAATCACTAAACTACTTCCTGTTCCCATGAACTTACCTGAACATTTCCTATAAATGAGATCATACAATAGATGGTCTCTTGTGACTGACTTCTTTCACTTAGCATGATGTTTTCAAGGTTCATCTACATTGGGGCCTGTGCCCATGCTTTGTTCTTTTTTATGGCTGAATACTATTCCATAGTGTGAATATACCTCATTTTGTGTATCCATTCATGAGTGGATAGACATTTGGGTTCTTTCCATATTTGGGCTATTATAATAATGCTGCTGTGAACATTCATGCACAAATTTCTGTGTGAACCTGTGTTTTCATTTCTCTTGAGAGATACCAAGCAGTATCTCTGGGTCATGGGGGTAACTCTCTGCTTAACCATTTGAGGAACTGAGGTGTAGTTTTTACAATAGTTGGTTCAGAGCAGGAGCCTCTTTCTACTTCCCACGAAAAAGCTGTAAATGTTACCTAGCCGCCTTGGGAGGGGCAGTTGGCAAACACGATCAGGGCACTACCAGTGTTCAGCGGGCCGCCCAGGAATGCTAGATGTGAGGGATGCCCATGAACAGCCCTGAACTGTGAATCCTTACACATCTTCCATGGCCTTCAGGTCTCTCACCAGGCATTCACGTCTGTGATGGATCGATTTACAATGATCTGAGCTCAGAACCTAACCTTGCTTTACATACAAACACAATGCATCTTTTTAAAGATGGTGGGTTTTTTTTTTAAGGTTTTGTTTATCTATTTGAGAGAGTATGAGAGAGAGAGAGAGAGAGAGAGAGAGAGAGCAGAGGGAGAGAGCAGAGGGAGAGGGACAAGCAGACTTCCCACTGAACAGAGAACCAGATGCAGGATTCAATCCCAGGATCCTGAGATCATGAAGGCAGACACTTAACCAACTGAGCCACCCAGGCACCCCTAAACTTTGTTTTGATCACCAATGACTAAGCCTGCTTTCATTTTAGGCTCCCCCACCCCATCCTTCCTAAATAATTCCATCTGGCTTCCCCTCCTCTAAATTCACATTTAGTTATGAACCACAGGTGTGACAATCTGTCCTCTTCATTCTACTTTCTGGTTGCTCAGTCCCTCGGGGGTGGTCCCCATTCATTTCTCTTCTGATGGGGTGGAAATGGGGCCAAGTGGCTGGGGGCATGGTCCCAAAAACCAAGTAAAGAAGACTGTGGCATCCAAGATGCTACAGGTCCCTACAGCATTGCTGAAGCTCCATGACACAGAATCAAATTAAGCCTTGAACTCTGAGCCAAGTGGACAGAAGATCAAATAGGTAGCAGCCAGGCAGGTCACTGGGAAACCCAAATGTCCTGCCTAGCCCTGGCTACTGCCTCTACAGTTTCTGTAGAAACAGCTGAAGGAGAACAGCATATTAAACGTTTTGCATAATTCTTCTCCCACCTCCCCATGTTTGGGAAAAACAAAACAAAAACCTGAGCCTGCTTAAGTAGTAATAGCACCATTAGGGCAGGGGTTCTCAAAGTGTGGTCCCGGGACCCCTAGGGGTTCCCAGAGGCATTTCAGGGGGTTCACGAGATCAAACTTGTTTTCATAAGAGTACTAACACATTATTTGCCTTTTTCACTCTCATGCTCTCACAAGTTCTCAGTGGAATTGTTCAGAGGCTACATGGGGCGCGATTTTGAGTGCAGAAGCAGGTGCTAGGATCCAGCCTCTCCTGTTGAGTCCCATATGAAGGAGATTTGCAAGAATGTAGCAATTATTTTGTTTGGGAAAAATATTGCTATTTTAATAAAATATGTTCTTTATAGGGACACATAACAAAGATACTATTGCTATTCTAAAAAAGAGTTCGTGGGATCCCTGGGTGGCGCAGCGGTTTGGCGCCTGCCTTTGGCCCAGGGCGCGATCCTGGAGACCCGGGATCGAATCCCACATCGGGCTCCCGGTGCATGGAGACTGCTTCTCCCTCTGCCTGTGTCTCTGCCTCTCTCTCTCTCTCTGTGACTATCATAAATAAATAAAAATTTAAAAAAATAAAAAAGAGTTCGTAAATAAACATTGTTTTAATTTCTCAGTGGAAATTCCTAATACAGGATATATCAACAGACAGAACCCACATCAACAAACGCTCCTCAGGAGGCCCTTGATCATTTTCAATCATTTAAGAGGTCCTGAGACCAAATGGTTCGAGAACCGCTATGTTAGAGATACCACACAATGTTCCTGGGGGCTCTCCAAATAAGGAAAAGATTTGGGGGGGGGGCTGCTTTTCTGCAGCGAGTTATAATGGAATCACAGAAGTGAAGTGCATTTCTGGGTTTGTCCCACCCCACTATCTTTCTGCTCCCCTCTCTCC